AGTCCTGGACAATGCTTCATTCTGTTGCATGTAGGGTCACTATGAGTCTAAACTGGCTGATGACACTTGACAACAACAACAACAACTTGTATCTGATTGAAAATAATCAAAATATTAGAAAACACAAAGGGGCATTTCTACTATGTCATAAAAGTCTTGGTTAGCACTAAAATAAGGACAGAATATATCATGTTTTATTTTTTCTTTGATTTACTTATATAGCATATTATATTTAATATATATTTTCTTAATTGAACATTTGAGCAAAAAAATATATCATTCAATTTTATGCTGACACAAAGGGGCATTTCTACTATGTCATAAAAGTCTTGGTTAGCACTAAAATAAGGACAGAATATATCATGTTTTTATTTTTTCTTTGATTTACTTATATAGCATATTATATTTAATATATATTTTCTTAATTGAACATTTGAGTGAAAAAATGTATCATTCAATTTTATGCTGACACAAAGTTAGATCATTTTGCCTGTATGAATATTGTGTGAGTAAAGATTAATTGACGGTGCATTTAGACTTAGGTCTGATTTGTTTTGTTTTCATTAATCTTAAACTAGGATTGATAATTTCATGAAATATTTTGTATGATTCTGCCCTGCATTCTTATTCTAATTTCATACCATATGTTTATTGGTATTTTATCAAATGTGAAGGAATTGTGCTTTCAGTGAGTGACAATAAGTTATTAGTTAATTTTAAATGAGGTGAATTGAAGGGTTTAACAAATGTATTGAATTTTTAAAATGATTTCTAAGGTAGAACACAAGGAATGATTGGAAATTATTTTTTAGGGCTTCAGCAATATTGTCTTGTTTGTTCTATTTTATTGTCAAGGTGGCGTATGGATGTTTATACTTTATAGAATTAACATTAGAAAAAATGAATTAGTAACGTCCAGTATTGTTTCTGCTTATCTTTAGATTCATCTTCAGTGGAACAATTACTAATTTGCTTGGGATCTCCTGGTAAACAGGAGGTAAATTGTTTTAATTTCTACCATGCTTATACTTGAATAGAGCCTCTATTTTCTAACTCATGCAGAAGAAATGAAGACTTGAGACTTGGGCATTTAGTATGCCCATGGTAACAAGAAAACTAACCAGAAATCACGTCACATGCTTTGAAACATGTCAACCAAACTAAACCAAACTCACTGCCATTGAGTTGAATCTGACTCATAGTGATTGGTTTCCGAGGTGGTATCACTACAGAAGTAGATTGCCCAATCTTACTTCCAAGGAGTGGCTGGTGGGTTTGAGCCACCAGTCTTCTAATTAGCAGTCAAATGTCTTAGGCACTAAGCCACCAGAGCTCCCTGAAATGTACAGCTTGTTATTATTAGTACAGTGGAATTGTCCACAAACAGTAATTCAGGAACCTTCAAGTTATATATTGTAGTCTATGTCCTCTCCTTCTGCAAATACACAATAGTGTATAGGAAAATGTATAAAGTGCCCCTAAATTGGTGAAGAGAGTAAGAATGGGGTCATTATTGGACAAAATATTTCAATAACTTTTGCAAGATCGAAAGATAGAAAAGTATTAAAAAACATACTTAGATAGAAGTAGTTGGAACTTTTTGAATTAAAAGAAAATTGGTTAAAATTATCTTCTGAAGTTTCTACCTCCATAATTACAGGGTATTCATGGATAGGAACAAAACTCTCACAATCATGAAAAAAAAAATCAAACATTGCAAATAATCAATGCAAGGAGTTGAAACAGTTCCCACTAGCTAAAAAAAAAAGAGTGGATTGAGAATTTCAAAATACTCAGATATAAAAAGAGTGACAATATAGTTATCATCACATTTATGAAAGAATCACTTTGAAAATTAAGTCCACCTGAAAATGGCAGAATGAGACTTCATATCTTCCCCATTATTTGTCTTCAGATTCAGAGGCCAGACTTTTTTTTTCTTTTTTTTTTGTTGACAATAAGAAAAATAACAGCCATTTCTATATCCTTCCTCATAAATTCAGATATATTAAATATGCAGTTATAGCACATGATCATGATGCATCTCCAACAGATTGATATGATTTCATTCATAAAAGGAAATGTAAAGAAAGTATATGTTGTGTAAAACCAAAAAAAAAAAAAAACAAACTCACTGCCACTGAGTCGATTCTGACTCATAGAGACCATCACTGGGTTTCCAAGACAGCAAATCTTTTTGGAAGCACTGCCTCATCTTTCTCCAGCAGAGTGGCTGGTGGATTCAAGCCATTGACCTTCTGTTTAGCTGCCAAGTTCCATAACCACTATGCCACTAGAGCTCCAGAGAGCGTTGGTGGTGATTTATTGAGTTTTGATAGAAACAACTCAGATATGAAACTTATCTTTTAGAGAAAATGCTGTGTATATACCACAAGGGAAATTTTACTTTTCCAATAAATCCTTTAGTTCAAAGAATACCCAGGCAAAAGTGAAATTGGAAATTTAAAAATGAATAAATAAATGTAGAAATGAAAATTGTATACAAAACTCTGCTTTATAAATATATAACTTTACAGATTTGACTATCAAAACAAGGCAAATGAAAACAATATAAAGAAAAAATGAATGAACAACAACAAAAAAATAAGTGAAAAAAAGGTGGAAAAGAACAGAATAGAAAGGAATTAAAAAAAAAAAAAAAGGTGAAAAAAAGTTTTCTTTTTAAAATCCCAGCCCCAGATCCAAAAGAAAGTTTGAGCGATCAATGTGCAAGTTCAATACTGTAAATAATATATGGTTTTATTAAAAGAGTAAAATAAAGTCAGACAAAAAAATAACTGAATCATTGCAATAATTAGAAATAAAATGAAACAAGATTATAAAAAAAAGACTTAAAAGAAACATGGATTTATCAGAAAGTTCTGCAAAGAAATAAACTAGTGTAGACTTACAAGTCAAGTTAAAAAAAAACATATAAATGAGTGCCACAGTAAATCAAAGCTTTTTTCCCCACTGTCATCAAGTCATTTCTGACTTGTAGTGATGCAGTAGGTCAGGGTAGACCTGTCCCATAGGATTTACAAGGCTGTAAATCTTTATGGAAGCAGATTATCTCATTTTTCTCCTCTGGAGCGGCTGGTAGGTTTGAATCACCGATCTTTTTGTTAGCTGCCGACTACTTTAATCATTATGCCACCAGAGCTCTTCAGCTTTGCATAAAGATCTCTCAAAATTCAGAAAAATAGTTTTCAAAAGGAAAATATGAACAACATTGCCTTGTTAATAGAGAACATAACTCATTGTTTCCATTAAGTATAAATATATACATATAAAAATAACCAAGAGCACTTATGAAAATATATATTGAAGAAGGAGGGTAAAGTGAATATTAAAGAGAAATTACGAAGAGTTGGCATTTATTTATTTAATAAATACTATTACACATCACTCTAGATCAGATAGTAAGCTAGACTTTCAGAGTGATAAGAGAGTGTTAAGCATATTAAAATTTTCACTTTTACTATACTTAAAATCCATGTATGAAAGTGATAACATTGAATAATTGAATCTACTTCCATAGTGATACTGCCTTGGAAACCCAAAGAGGGATCACTATGAGTCAGATCTGACTTGATGGCAGTGAGTTTGTTTTTCTTTGGTTTTGGTATGAAGAAAAATTAATGAAAGAAAAGAAAGAATTATGAAATTTTTATTCAAACAATTAAATTTAAAATGATAAATGCCATTGATTACTCATCACATTTTTTAATAAAAACAACAACAAATATATGTGTGTGTGTATATATATATATACATTATATATATATATATATATATATATAAATTTTTTTGACAATGGTGTAGAAACACAAGAATTCCCACATACTGGATACAAAGTGACGGTTTAACAGACAGAATGAACCCTCCATAAAACTAGAAAATTAATAATAATTCAGAGCATGACATTTTGAATAAAAAGTAAGTTATTCCAGGTGAAAAAGATAGGTATAGACCTATGGCACACTGCAAAATATTAAACAGTTCTTTATGAGTTAAAAAATATATTTTGAAAATCTCAAACAAAGGTTTCATTTGTGTCCCTTAGGTATACAGAGCCAATTTCCTTTGCTATGTGGATGACTTTTCAAATATTTAGGGTAATTTGTTATCTCAAAGGTTATTATTTTTCTTTTACTAATAAAATAATCCCACTACACTCACATACAAAGGCAATCATGGCCAGTTGTTACTTTTGTATGATTTGTACTTTAAAACTAAGATATAAATTTAAGATCTAGAATTCACTTGCTGTGTGCCATGGGTATATAATCTACCTATACTCTTTAAATTAGTCATCATTATATCTTTCCAGAATGAAAAAGCCTCCTTTGATTTAAAATAGAACAGAGATTGGGAGATATTTTTTTTTTAGCTATCATCATTCATCATTAAACTTGACAATGCACACTTCTATTTAGGTTTCCTGGGAAACATCACCTATTTTGGAAAATATTAATGTTGTGTGATATAAGAAAGAAATCATTCCTAGAGATTCATAAAATGAAAGACTCATAGCAACCCCTCCTTGGGTTTCTGAGGTGGTATCACTACGGAAGTAGATTGCCCAATCTTCCTTCTGAATTAATACTTATAGTGTTCACAAATGATATACGTCTCAGCACACCTATGGTAGAACACATGGGGGCATTGGATTCCCAAAATTAATTCATAGCTGGTTATCATGAGGTTGAACAAAATCAGAGAACTAAGTTGAAAGGTAAATTGATTCCAGCTACGTATAAGAGAACATCATAGATACAGGTTATATACCATTAAAAAGAATAAAAATACAGGAGGAGATTGAATAGACACTAGCTATTTGTTCACGACTTCAGTTACTATCCCAACATGAAAATAAAGTAAAGGGATATATTAAAAGGATAGTTGACATAGATTGAAATTTTCAATAAACTTCAGTTATCTAAAGCTATATTTCTTAAAATAGTTTTTTTTTTTTTTTTTTTGAAAGTACAAAAATGTTATTTTAAGGTAAACAAAACACATTTTTTAATGATATCTTTCAGGGCTTGTTTCACTTGTTTATTTCTTAGGGTATATATAAAAGGATTTAAGACAGGTGCAACTGAAGTGGTGAGTACTGCTATTCCCTTGTTTAAAGCTACCCTATCTTCTGTAGAAGGTTTTATATACATAAAAATGCAGCTGCCATAAGAGATGGAGACAACAATCATGTGGGAGGAACAGGTAGAAAATGCCTTCTTCCTCTGCTCAACGGAAGGGATCTTGAGAATTGTTCTTATGATATATGCGTAGGAGAGCACCACCAGAGCCAATGTGATCAGGAGCGTGATGATGGCTAAAATTAAACCAAACAGTTCTATAACCCGTGTGTCAGTGCAAGAGAGTTTCAAGAGAGGAGCATAGTCACAGACAAAGTGGTCAATAATATTAGCGTCACAGAATTCCAAACTCAGGCCCATGATAAGTCCAGGAGAGATTGTTAACAACCCAGCCAACCAACAGGTAACAACCAGCTGTGTGCAGACTCTGCTGCTCATAATTGTTGCATAATGCAAGGGTTTGCAGATGGCCACATAGCGGTCGTAGGACATGGCAGCCAACAGGAAAAACTCTGATGCACCCAAGAAGATCCCAAAAAATAACTGTGTAGCACAGGCATCATAGGAAATCCTTTTATCCATAGTCACTAGGATAAACAGGTATCTAGGGATGCAGACAGACGTCAATGAGATTTCTAAGAATGAAAAATTCCGAAGGAAGAAATACATGGGTGTTTTAAGGTGGGCATCCAGCAGAGTGAGCAGGATAATGGTCAGATTTCCAGTGACACTCAATAAATATGTCAGAAATAGAAAAAGAAAAATTACAATTTGCCAGTTTGGGTCATCTGTCAGTCCCAGGAGAATGAAGGTTGTCACCATTGTATGGTTTCTCATGGTTAAATTCCTTCTGAATTCCATCAGATCTGGGAAAATGTAGATAACTATACATTTAAAAAACAGATTTAAAATTGACATGAAAAATCAAATAAAGTATGTAATTCAATTGAATTGCATATACTTTCTTGCTCTTATAATTTTAACTATTTTACAACCAGTCAGAACCACAGGCTAGATCCTGCTTATTATGTATACTTGTCAGGAAAAGAACTTTCTAAACTTCCTTTTCAGATTTCCTTCACTTTGCATAAGGATGATATTTTTATTTCTGCTTACTAGCACTTGTAAATTTCCATGATTTAATGTTTTGTCCAGGAAGATGAGAAGTAGCTCCTACAATTTTGCTGAGTCCACAAGAAAACGTTTTCTCAGGTTATGTCTGTTATATTTACATTTAACACAATATTCTGCTCTGTCTCTATAAATAAGACAATTCTTTTTTCTGTATACCTTTGCATTTTAAACAGCTAGTCATGCTTAAAATTTTGTAGTTATTCTTTAAAAATGGTTGTATTCTGATGATATGTTTGCTTAACATCTGGATTCCTTGGTACTAGTGAATAGAACTTACAATGGAACAAGCATTTATGAATTGTAATACATTGTGAATTTCAAAATTGGTATATAAACATCAAGTTGAAACTTTACATGAAATTTAAAATTACTCAGATGTTCAGTCACTGTCAACTTAAAGCAAATAGTTTTTCATGTAAGAAACATTATTTTACAACCAGTAATATTGAAGTAAAGAAGAACTGGCAGTATAATGACTAAGAACTTTTGCTAGTTGAAAACGTGGCAGTTCAAACCCATCTAGTGACTCCATGGACTAAAGACCTGTTAATCTATTTCCATAAGGATTACAACAAAAAAAAAACCCTATTGGGGCATTCTAATCTATCACATAGGAGCTCTGGTAGCATAGTGGCTAAAACACTGCTAACCAGAAGGCTGGCGGTTCAAACCCACCAGCCACTCCTCAGAAGGAAGGTTGGGCAATCCTACTTCCGTAGTGATACTGCCTCGGAAACCCAAGGAGGGGTCACTATGAGTCGGGGCCGACTCGACGGCACATAACAACAACAACAACAACAATCTATCGCATAAAGAGTGCTGGTAGTGTAGTGGGTAAGGCATTTGGCTGCTATCCAGAAGGTCAGCGGTTCAAACCCACCAGCTGCTCCTTGGGAGGAAGATGAGACAATCTACTTCCATAAAGATTTATAGCCTTGGAAACCCAGCGAGGATCACTATGTGTTGGAATCGACTAGATGGCAGTGGGTACAATCTATCACATAGGGTTGCTATAAGTCAGTATCAACTAGATGGTACCCAAGATCAGTATTGAAGTACCCAAAGCTTTACTAAATATAAAGGCTATGTACCAGTCAAATTTATTAAAATAACAACAAAATGTTGAAAATCATTGCTTATAGAGCTTTTCTAATAAACAAATTCAACCACTATTTCAGATACATTCATAGAAATTTTAATTATGAGATACAAAAATATTTTCTTCTAGTATTGAATTTAACTGGTTTAATCTTATTGTCACATATGCAGACTAAAAAGCATTCTGTGATAATTACTTTGTAAGCAAAACAAAGGAATGCTGAAAATACTTACTTCCCATAGATTCTGCAAGGGTTTTCTTTGATGATACATTATGAAATTTTTCCTTGTATCATTAACCTAAAGCACAATAGGGATTATTGCTGCATTAAAATATTTCTTTCTTTCTAACCCATATTTTTTTCTTTACTTCCTCACTTTCAATTAAGATTTTGTTCACGTTAAAACCCAGGCATATTTAGTAACAAATTTGAAAATTGGTGTATCTCTCCTTCTCTCTTTCCATGGGGGGCATTTTCAGGGACATTTTTCCAATTTTCTTACAAACAGTAACCATTAATTTGTGAGTTATCCTGATACTTAATTTAAAACCTAGAAAGCTAAGTTGTTTATCTATAACATGTATTAGATTTTTTTATAAGAATTCTAGTCATTCACTATCGTTCCTGATTTTCCCTTGAAGAACAATAGTTTTATATCTACATTACCATATATTTATATTTACTCTTTAATAACAAAGAAGACATATACGCAGTACTGATGTAGAACTCTGGGGATTCTAGTGGAAAAGATACTAATTAACAATGTTCATCATTATCTCTAAAGATAAAGTAAAACTTTAATTAAGAGCATAGTTATGGCATCTACTGGGAAGCCTGAAATGTTGCTATTAAAATGGAGTCTAATTCCTATAGTAAGAATTACAAGGACATATAAATAACTTAGATATTTCAAAGCATCTGAGTTTAGATGCTCCAAAAAAAAGAAAATTGGAGCTCTCCAATTATCCGTTCTTAGAGGAGATTAAGAAAGTAAAACAGGCAGATAATAAAGCATCTTTCTATGACAATGCTGTCCATAAACTCTCATTTACTAAGTATTTGCCAGTTAGCTTATAACATGAGTTTGAGGTCAAGCACACTTATTTCTTACCTTGCCATACAACCTCTTAGTTTAGAATATGTATTATATACTAATATGGAAGCAGTCAACCGATGCCATAACCGACTTTTTGAAAAGCACCTAATTACAGAAATATCTGTAAATAAAATCCCTTTAGAAAAAAAGAAAGTTAAATTTTTGTTCAACTGTCTTCTAAGCTATGGAAATATTTATCTCTGCTTTCATATAATGAAAAACCACAGAAAATAAGAAAAATAAACCTTTCCAATTACTCTCTCCTAAAACAATTGTAGTTGAAATGTGTAAAAGATGAAGGAAATCAACTTGAATTAGAAACAGAAGAAGATAGAGATATTTTCTGCAGAGAGTGATACTAGAAATTGAATGAGATATATATGTATACAAACCAAACCAAACTCACTGCCATCGAGTGGATTCTGACTAATATCGACCCCCTTCGGGTTTCCGAGGAGGTAAATCTTTAAGGAAGTAGATTGCCCATTCTTCTTCCTGTGGAGTGGCTGGTGGGTTTGAACCACCAACCTTCTGGTTAGCAGGCAAATGCCTCAAGGACTATGCCACCAGATTTCCTTATATATCTATAGTAAGAAATTATTTTTGAGTCGAATTAATCATATTTTAGGAAATATCTACAATATAAATAATTAACTGATAAAATGTTTCCCTTAAATATATTAATATAATATCTTAATATGAGTTTTGAAAATAACAGAGAATGCATCATTCATAGAGTTTGATAAAAGCAAAAACCCACTGCCATCAGAGGTATTCCAACTCATACAGTGACCCTATAGGACAGAGTAGAACTTCCCCATAGGGTTTCCAAAGCCGTAAATCTTTACAGAAGCAGACTGCCTCATCTTTCTCCTGCAGGGCAGCTGGGGAATTCTAACACTGACCTTTTGGTTATCAGCTCAAAGTTTTAACCATGGTGCCACCAGAACTTCTTAGGGTTTAGTAAGAAAAGCACAACGATCATGAGTGATACAGAACAAGCAAATTTTTAGAGAAAATTGATCTATTAGGCCATGCATAGTTGTGACACAGGGAGCTCTGGTAGTGCAGTACCTAAAGCACTTCACTGCTAACCAAAAGGCTGGCAGTTCAAACCCACCAGCACTCCTCAGAAGGAAAGTTGGGCAATCTACTACCGTAGTGACACTGCCTCGACAACCCAAGGAGGGGTCGCTATGAGTCAGGGTCATAGCGACTCATAGGGGTCGCTATGACTCAATGGCACATAACAACAACAACAACAGTTGTGGTACTGATGAAATATACCAATGAATGTTGCCTCTGATGGTAATGACGTGTCCTGAAGTTGCTGTAAGAAGCAGGGCAGGCATTTCAGAAGAAAGCCAGATATAAAGCAAAAGAAATCTTGTCTTTAAAGATAAAGATTACTTCACAACCAATGAGGACTAGAGAGATCTGAGAGCCATGATGTAGTTAGTTATGAAATGATGAAATAACCTAAAACCTGGGGTCCATTACCTTTATAAAGTCAATTGCCACTGTGGCCTGTCAAATGGAAACCAGGCCAAAAAAATAACTTTGTTGAACCTACTCAGCTTGTCTTTGATTGTCTTAAAGATTGTGACTTTATGTTAGGCGCGAATATCCTGTTGTTTTTATAGCTGATTTTCATATGATATTATATGGTACAAGATTTCTATTGATGTGAGAATCCAAAGGAGAGTCTTTGACAGATACCATGCATTTACTATTTAGTTTATTTTCTACCAATTTTCTAGTCAGAGATATGGGGAAATAAAAATATTCTACATTCTAGATCCCATTAGGAATATTGTTAAATTCAAATATATCCATAAGTTTCTTAAATAAGTAAATTGAAAAAGAAAATTACCCTTAGCTCAAGCCTTCAGCATAACTAGAAGACAAGGAAAAGCATCCCCAAATTCACATGAGAACAAAGAGTAATGTAAGAATTTTCTGTAGTGGAGGAAAGTTATTATTGTTGTGTGTTGCTGAGTCAATTCTGACTCATAGCAGAGCTATAGGACAGCGTAGAACTGCACCATAGGATTTCCTAGGCCACAATCTTTATAGGAGCTGACTGCCAGGTCTTTTCTCCCTCAAAGTGGTGGTTTCCAATAGCTCATCTTTTGGTTAGCAATCAAGCACATTAAACATTGCACCACCTGGGTGCCTTTTGGCAGAAAGTTAGTTGGAGTCTTGTGTTTTAGTTTTCTATGCTACAAAAAAGGCACCACAACTTTAGCATGATAAAATAACACAAATGTATTATGCCACAGTTTCTGTAAGTTAGGAGCCTGGGTAATGCTTGTAGCAAAGCCACAATCAAAGTTTCACGAGGGCTTGCCTTGGCTGTGATTTAGAGTGTCTTGGCAGCTGGATATAGTTTTTCCCCATGTTAAGATTGGATGTGGTGTGATCATCCTGTGGCGGAATCAGGTGTAAGCAGCTGACTCGTTGAAGGAGAATTGTCTTTGGGGTGTGGACTGCTTCCAGTATATATG